GAAAAGTGCTACTTGGCATAAGTCAAAAGTTTTGTTCCATTTGATGGAAACACTCCTGGCTGAATTACTGCCTGGGCTGAATTTAGAGCTTTGAATTTTTTTCTGTGTTATCATACAAGCTACTGCAAAGGATAACAAAAACTTCCTGAACCATGAAAAAAAATCTGTTGTTTGCATTGCTACAAATCACATGCCATTGAGCAGGTGGATGACCACAAGAACAGTGTTCAAGCACTGACTGGAAGAGAAGTGTTAGATAATAACCTTATTTGTGCAAACATTTCTAATTTTGATCTCTGTGGAATTTCCTTTCAAAATTCCAGTTTGAGCTTGCACTAAAAGAATAACTCATGGAAGTCATGGCTGGGGAGCTGTGCAGACCAGTAAGGCATTGACTTGCTTGGCAGTCCCAGCACAGATGATTACACAAAGCTGGAACCAAGATTGCAAGATCTTGTACAACTAGTGTGAGGTTTGTGGCAAAATGACCTCAAACCAACTGTCAGGTGGGTTTGATGCTTGTTCATCCCAAGATTTCCACAGAGTTGGTGACTAAGTATAGACTTGCACAGACACCAGAAAAATAAAGGATGGAGGTATATATTGCTGAGCTAAAAGAAATCAGATCCCTATTGTTTGCCTACGTGCAAAATAACACAGAAATGCCAGCAAACAACTGTGTAGAGCCCTTCCCTTCCTCATGTAAGGGCTCAGTTAGGGCCTGTATGATCCATGTTTGTGTTCTTGTTGTTGCTTTATTTTAAAACCTTGTCTGTTTTCCTTCCTTAGCAAAGGGGTGAACGAAGGGATTGAGTGGATGGTGAAGTGTGTGGTGAGGAACATCCACCGCCCCCCAAGGAAGAAGGACATCACGTAGAGCTCTGAGCCAGCCAAGCAATGCACAGTCTCTTTCCACACACTTTTGTGTTCCCTTTAAAGAAGGTGATCCACTGGATTCCTATTACACCTGATTCTTTCCTAAATTTGGAGACAAATATTCTCTTTCTGTGTCTAAAAAACACTTGAGCCAAGGATTCCAACTGGGTGGGGGGTGGGAATCTCTTACATTAAGTATTGTTACTGGCCTCTGAGCATCCTATGTAGCAACCCACACATTGTTGCCAATGCAAAAGACTTAATTTTTCTACTATCTTACTTTGTGATTCCTGATTTGTGAATCTAGCAGGCTGGAGGCTGGTGACATGAAGGAACTCCTGAAGGAGATGCAGAGGTGAATGTTGAAGGGGAGGAACAGCCTGGGGAATGGCTGTTCCTCCTAACTGCCAAGATCCTTGCTGCTCCAGCCCCATGTTCCTGCAGGGTGTTACTGGCCCTGTTATGCTGCTGTTTGTGTAGTGGGGAGAGACAGCATTGATTAGAACTTGATTTTCACTCGGGGTGTTGCTTCATAACTTTGACCTGTGGTAAAAGCAGATGTGTAAATCAGCAACTGCACAGTGGTCATTGGATTGTGGAATTGTTAATGTTGGAAAAGACCTCATCAAATCCAGCTGTGCTGGCTGAAATGGATTTTCCTACCAGGACCGCGATTCCAGAAGCACTGCCTTGCTCTGACTGCCAGTCTCTTTGTGCACTCTCTTTAATCCTAAGAGTAATTGAGATCTTCTGTAACTGGAGTGAATCAAGGCCCTCTCTGTGATCTTTCTAAGCTGAAAACAACCTCTAGACAGGAAGAAATCAGTATGCAATAAAGCTTCCTACTTATTTGAACTTCCCTGGCTGAAACAGTGGTATTTGGGAATAGCAGTACTTAGCCTAGGTTTGTTTTTTTTTAATTGTAGGAAAAACCAGAAAGGCAGCACTCAAAAGACAGTGCTCAGTGCTTACATCACCTACTCAGCTAGATCTGCTGATATATCAATATCTTTTCCCTGAATATGAGTTTTTAGGTGAATTTCATGGTGGTTTGGCAATGGGTCTTGCTCTTCTGCTGTTTTATTTACTCCTGGCACTGGTGAACGTTCTGTGCTGTTTGCTGACATAAGGAAGGGGCCATCATTCAAGCTGTACTTGAGCCAGTCCATAGTATTTGTTTAGTCTCTTAGTTGGCAACTGTCAAAGAACTTTCTGCTGAATTTCCTCCACGGAACTCTCAGATGTTTTTTGAGAGAGAACATCAATCATTTGCTCACATTTGGGTTAAAGCACAAAGGCAGCTGGGCTGTATCATTAAGTTCATGAAGTCAGCAGAAAAAAATGCAAACTGAAGAGCAGAATCTTTGCTTCTCAGCAGAAGTAAGGCTCCTTCACACCTAGGGAGTCAATCATTTTTCTTGTGTGTTCTGTGAATGTGGAGGGTCCCTTGGAAATCACTTACCCACTTTAGGAAGTGGCACTTTTGTTGGGTGATGCAGGGCTGAGATTTTCAAGAGTACTAAAGTTTTGGAGAACCAATGGCCTTTGATTATTAGGAGCATCTCTCTCACTGGGCTCTTTTAAAACACTTGGAAGGTATTGGAATATGAATCCCAATATAACCAGTTAGATTGTGCCTGGGTCAGTGTGACCCTCGCTGCTGAGCCAAAGGCGGCTTCTGTGGTGCTTTACCCCAGAGATACCTTGGCTGCTGGGGATTGCAGCAGGGCACTGGTGGAAGTCCAGGCTTGTCAGGAACTCCGTTTACCTCAGGAGAGAGAGCTTCTGGCGATGGTGAAGAGATGAAGGAGAGGATTCTGCTGGAGGGTTGCCAGATGTTTATTCCATGGTTACAGAGGTCTGAACGGGGCAACTGCTGCCAACAGAATGCAGCCGCATGGTCTCATTAACCTTTTAAGCTCCAGGACAGGGGAAGGGGAGGGGACAGGTGAGCCACCAACCAGGTGAAGGGGCAGGGTCTCAAGGGACTAGGGACACCTATCCAATGTCCCCCAGGCCTGAGGGACAACCACACGACGCCTTGCTGGAATGTTAAACCTGATTGACAGGACTCACTCAGCAAGGGAGCGAGGGGGCAGGGAGAGAGGCATAGGCACACCTGGGAAGGGACCCGGAAGTTTAAAACAGGACATTGCAACACACCGCAACAGGAAGGCCTGAGTGTTTTCAGGGTGACTTTGTGGCCCTGGCTGCTTTGGTTGGCAGAGTTGGTACTGACAATGAAACTGAAGATGTAAAACTGTAACTAATGAACAAAGGTACCTTGCTGAGAGTCAAAACACTTTAGTCAAGTAGCTTGAAATGTCTATTCTTTAGGACACAAGGAATTTTCCAAGATTTCCACATACTGTTTTCAGATCTCTTGCTCTCTTTTTTCCCTGGGAAACCAGAAATGACAAAACAGTTTCTAGACACAGACTGCTTTGTGGTCCATATCTGCAGAGTGTCTTAAAGCCAATGTTTTGACCTCAGGATTCCAAGTTCTCGGGCGTGGGAGAGTCATTTTCCTAGAGACCTGCCCACGCTGGGATAGGTATGCATGAGTGTGCTCTGGCTACAAGAAATCAGGGAGGATTTCTCTGAAACCACCAAAGTTCATTCTAATTCAAAGTGACCTTCCACAGCAGCATCCCAGCAGATGGGATATTTTTTATATTTTGATTGGAAATGTAATGATTTTTCTCATTTTATACTTACAGGAAGCACAGACTTATTTGAAATGCTTTTTTTTTTTTGTTTCAAGTGACCCCTCTGCTAGACCTCAAAGCAAAAATGTTTCTGAATTCAAAGTTCACATTTAGTCAGTTGTCCAGATTTTTGATACATTTGCATTGGACTTGTTTTGCCCATGCCTGTTCACAGCAATGAAATTGCCTGAAGAGCTGTTTTATCTTCCCAAAGGAATACAGACTGATCATCTGCACTTTTGTCATGGTTTGACCCGGAAACAGGATTTCTGGGATGCTGTGTGGATGGGGCCAATGAGTGCTCAGATTTGAATATTGCCA